GTTGTCAAATAAATCACATCATCTGCAAATAGTAGCGATGTAAACCCAAGAATCTCAAATCAGACCCTCCTCTCAAAGACTACACCTCAAGGTCCTGTACAAGAACATCATCAGTGAGAAAGGAAGCAAATCTAATTTTGGGAGCCCAACAATAGCTTAGTAAAAAGAAAGAGGATTGCGCTCTTGCTTTTGGAGAACAGGGACAAGATTGTTCTTAAAAAGTCCCTTGGGAGGGACGACACTGAACATTTTCTAGATTCCCAAGAGACATGTTTAATGGAGAACTAAACTCCCATGAGCACCCTTCCCTCACCAGCTCTCGAAGGGTTAAGATGTACTCCACTGTTCCACGACTTCAATGAAAGCCACAACCAAATGTCTGATTCAAAAACGAGTTGAGGCCTCCTTCCCAACAACCCAGAGCAGAAATTCCCAAGAAAATTAAGAAGCAGAACTCTCAATAGGTGGGACACATTCTTTAGACCCCCCTCATCCCCCCGATTCATTCAAGAGATGATGGAAACAACTTGAGTAAATGCTAGCAAGCCTTTCTCTGACATTGATGGTGCTTTTAACAATAAGCGTGACTAATTTCATTTGATTGCTCAATCTTTGAGAAGAAAATGCCGCTCTTAGCCAGGAGGCATGAAACACTGTTAACTCGAGAAGCACGCATAATATCTGCACTGTCATCTGCCAAATGCTTTGGAACTTTCACAGCAACAATAACAAAGAATTATCTTCATCCATTATCTCTGATCCCATGTGTCTAGCTGTGTGTTATCTATGGTAATACAACCAGTCAGCAGAGGCAGGAGTAAGGAGCAAATAAAGCTGGAATCTAAGCGGAATCTGATTAAGATGTTGTTAGAAGTTCAATATTAGATAACAGCAGGAGCAAGTTGTGAAAAATAAAGTCAATGGTTGCTTAATATGGAAGTTTTAGAGCCATGAGCTTTATCAGAAATCAGTTTACGCTTATCTTCTAAAAAAAGTGATTTTCGTATCCGGCTCGTCCTTGGCAATCCCACAAATTTGTTCATCACTATTCAAGTTTCTTTCTGTTAAAGATGGTCCAGGAGGAGCTCAGATAACAAACTGCTTAATGACTTTGTGTCATATAGTTAAAGCATCACACTACCTCACATGTGTGCTTGTTCATGATAATTTAACAACCCACCCTCTCATGAAGAACTTATTGGTAATCTGAGGGCAGGTGGAGAGGGCAGCTCTGTCAGGAGATACATCTCTGAGATTCCAGAGGTTATTGTAATTGATTTTCTCAATTCCCCAGAGTGTGTGCAACTCGGCCTGAAGCAATCATCAGCCTTGATAAAAAGAGCTACGCTACACTACTTCTGCAAGAATGTATAAGCCTGTTAAAGGGAACGTAATGAAGCCAGTGAATACTTGAAGATTCTCTCTCTCTCTCTCTCTCTCTCTCTCTCTCTCTCTCTCTCTCTCTCTCTCTCTCTCTCTCTCTCTCTCTCTCTCTCTCTCTCTCTCTCTCTCTCTCTCTCTCTCTCTCTCTCTCTCTCTCTCTCTCTCTCTCTCTCTCTCTCTCTCTCTCTCTCTCTCTCTCTCTCTCTCTCTCTCTCTCTCTCTCTCTCTCTCTCTCTCTCTCTCTCTCTCCCTCCCTCCCTCCCTCCCTCCCTCCCTCCCTCCCTCCCTCACAAAAAAAAAATCCAAACGAGAAAATAGACCAGAAAGGAAGAAGAAGGGAGTTGACTGACATAACCTACCAACACATTCTCACACTCGAAGCGTGGAAAAATGAAGCTGGGTGACCAAGCGTTTGTTTCCGATGCGTTGGGAGCCCCAGTGCTTCATTTTCCAACTGCTGCGGTAAAACGGAGATTTCACCAAATTGTGACCTTTAACCTCTTGCTATTTAACCTTCCCCTCACCCCCATCCTAACCTTAACCCTTTTGCGCATGTAAAACGTAGTTTCAAGTTGTAACCGGTTGCAACGTCCCTCTCTAACACGGTTAACAAGAAGTTTAGAATAAGAAACTGGGTTAAGGTTAGGATGTGTGTGAGGGGCAAAAGGTTGGAGCAGTGGTCCTCAATAGGCAGCCAGCGGGCCATGTGCGGCCCTGGTCCGGACATCTTGCCTCTGGGTTTTTTTGGAGTGGCCCTCAGACCATTATAATTGAGGACCCCTAGGTTAGGGGTTAAATGTCAGTTAAATGTGAGTTTTACCGCGGCAGTCAGAAACCAACGCTCTGACACGACGTGTAGCCTCCCGACGCGTTGATACAAACACTTGGTCACCCATCGTCATTTTTCAATGCTTCAGGGGTGCGAATGTGTTGTAAATTCAGGTTTGGATTTGCATACAAAAAGTATCACTGAATCCAACATATATCATCATATTTCTGGATTTTGTGTTCATGCAGAATTACAATGTGATCAGAATTCTAAACGATTTTATCACTTTTGATCACTTGATATAATGTGTCTTTTATTTCATTTGCATCTATGTTGCACAACCAAGGGACGACTCAAAATGCATTTAGGTGTCAAGTAATTCAAAACTGTAGCACATTTCAACAATTGCAATATTTTTTTTAAATACGTCATAATAAAATATTATTTATCAAATATTTTTCTTCTGCGCAATCAAAAGAAAATAACTTTACAAATATGACATACAGGATTCCACAAAATCCAACACAATGGAATTTTATATACAATGTGATGCAATACAACATGACTATTGATCGCGTGATTTAATGTGACTTATTACGATTCAATGTGAGTCAATAATATTCAATGTGACGTGATACAATATGATAAAATATATTGCAAAACACTTCTCACCTCAACTTTTCCTCAGTTGCTATTTATTATTTGCTTCACGCTGCGTCATACTGATCTGTGTCATAACGCAATGGTGATTGTCTAATTTTTCAGCAAAACTGTACTTTAACTTAAGATAGATAGAAAAGCTTTGATGAAATGATGTGATGGCTTTTTCACTATTTGTTTCCAATAACAAACTGCCACACCAGTGTGGTTTCTTTTACAACCCCTGTGCACAAGTGACAAATTCAGCAGCTCACTTCTGTCATCAGCATCTCTGTCCTCTTCCTGTCACTCGCATTTTCTTCAGCCTTTTGGTTCCTCTTTAGGGGAGCAGACTAGCTTTATATGCTTGCGTCTGCAAGAAACCTACAATTGCATATGCACTCAGACGATTTATATAAATAGCTGCATCCGCATCATACTGAACAACAGCATCAGCAGTTTCCCATAGCAACAGGTTGGTGGAGATTTAGAACATTCAGTCCCTCGGATGTCAAAGAAAAATCATGTGTCATATGAATGCTAATGATAAATGACCCACACTTGGATAGCGCCTCTCAGAGTAAGGACTCCAAAGCGCTTTACACTACAGTGTATCATTCATCCATTCACACATTCACACACTGATGGTGATGAGCTACGATGTAGCCACAGCTGCCCTGGGGGGCACTGACAGAGGCGAGGCTGCCGAGCACAGGCGCCACCGGTCCCTCCGACCACCACCAGCAGGCAAGGTGGGTTAAGTGTCTTGCCCAAGGACACAACAGCAGAATTCTCTGTCCAGAGCCGGGATTGAACCTGCAACCTTCCGATTACTGGACAACCCGCTCAATCTGCTGAGCTACTGCTGCCCATATGAAGAGATTTGCTTGGCAGTGAGATTCATGTTTCATTGCAAATAGAAGTCACACTTATGCAGCTCCATGGTTTAAAATGGACCAACTCTCACTAAATGACCCTTTTTAAGAAAATGAAATGACCAAAGGAGGTATTTTATAACAGAAAACGGAACTAAAAGTAGAAAAGGCAGCATAATTGGACCTAAAATAAATGTACTCACATTTGAAGAAACTTGTAATCACTAAAGCCAATTTAAGACTTCTTGGTAACCTAAATGTGATGTTTAAAACGACTATGTTTTGGAACTGTAGGCTTGGTTAAACAGAAAACGAATGTTTGCAAAGTGAAAAGAATCAGATGATTAAATGGATTCTTGGAGAGACGCACAGCTGCAGCAATAATCAGATGTGTTACCTGCACAACCTGTCTTTGCCAAATAGACCAATGCCTCAGACTCTTTTATAGTTTTCACTGTTTCTGTAAGAAATTGTGTTTGGAAAATGCCGTGTTCTAAGGATGAAAACACAAGTCTTTACTTGTGTGCCCATCCTTTATGGACAGCCTTTCTACAAACAAACACAGTGGGGCAAGAATTGAGTTTGGTGGGAGCAGATCTTTAGCTTGGTTGAACTGTCAACTTTGGGTTTGCAGTCAGGTGCGAAGTGGCTGAGATGAAGATAAGCACCTCCAAATCTGAGGCCTTGGTTCTCAGAAAAGGTCATAGAGCAATAACACAAATACAGGCAGGCTTCTTCTGCAGCGTGGCTGGGCACCGCCTTAGGGGTAGTGAGAAGAGCTCAAACATCTGGGAAAGTCTCAGAGTAGAACTTCTGCTCCTGGACGTTGAGAGGAACCATTGTGGCTCCCACATGCCTCCCGCAGGGAGAGTTGTGTTCATCCAGGAGCAGATCCCAGGTCCAAACCAGGACACAATGGAAGGATCATAACCCTAAAGTTATGGGAACATCTTGAGTTCCCAAAGATGGAGCTGGTGGGAGAAGCTGGGGGAGACAGTCTGGGCATCACTAGGGATGCTGCCCCCGCCGGAGAACAAGATGGCAACAACAATGATGAGAACAAGTGATTGGAAATTCTGTTTAGTAAGACTCTTTGCCTCCAAAGGCTTTGCAGAAGATAAATGTTGCAACAAAAATTATTTCAGTGCACAAAGTTACTGAAGTTTTTGAAGAGGAAAAATACAAAAAAACTTACTTTTTCCTTAAAATTTTTAAAATGATTTGATAAATTTCATGTAATTTTTTTGGCCATTTAGAGAAAATGATTCAGCTTTATTAGTAACTTCCTACATTAACCAAAAAAAGCCCATTAACAGAAAAAAGGTGGTTCTTACCAGTGTTGGATCCAGACAAGTTGTACCTAGAATTGGCCTTTTTGACAATGTTCTCATGGATTTGGTACCACTCACTCTCCGTGTTGCACCTGGAAAAACACATGGCAACTCAAAAATCTGCTGTAAAATGTAGAAAAAAACCTCAGTTGCTGTCAGTTGTGACTTGTTGTTAACACACAAAAGTGTTAGCTTCTCCCAAACTTACGATGTTGAGGGTAGACTACGCATGATCCATAGAAATGTACTTTTTTTTTTTTTTTGCAGTGACTTACGCGTAAACTTTGAGCAGGTGGTCATCCTTGGAGTCAGCAGTGAGGAGATCAGCAATGCTGACAACAGCGCAGCCAAACGGCCGCCTGTACTGAACGCTGCATGTGTTCTTCTTCTCTCCTGCTCCCATCCTCCCTGCAGAACACCAGAGACCCATGGTGAGAATAGGACCATTATGAAAGGCAGGCAGACGTAAAAATATTCATGATGTGCTCAAAAGAATGAAGAATTTCCTCCCACCTATTCTTATGATGTGGACGACGATGTAGACATCTTTTCGTAGATCACTGCTTCCTAAATCCTGACGAACAAAGCAAGACCAAATATTTCAGCACAGAGTTGTATATCAGGCATTGCTTGAGTTGTGCGATATGAAATGTTCTATATAGTGACTATAAATAAATCAGCTAATTTTAGGCATCAACATCTTTTTTTCAGTGCACGTCTAAATAAATTGCAGCCTGCTCCTCCTATCCAGAAAACTCTCCTCCACATTGCAAAGTTGTCCAGATGGAAGTGAAGAGAGACGAGGTGGACGGTGATCAAGTTCATCAAAAGTTCCAAAGTAAGACAAACTTGTTTCATGAGAAAAACAGCACTAAATCTGTCACCTGGGAGCAGTTTAAATTTATTATGGAAGGCTCTGGGTTTACAAGGATGGTTGATTTTTCAGTGAGACATGGTGACGCTGCACAGCTGAGCGACTCACCGATCAATAACTGCCATGCTAAACATTCTAGCACTCAGTAAATGACACAAATGCTGTCTGAGGTGACATTTTAGAAATTTTTTCTCAGAATTTAAGTGATGAAATCTGGTCACTCGCCCTATAGAGCATTATGTGTGTGTTTGTGGCACAGATAAGAAAAGATGAAGAAGTGTCACGATTAAAGTTAAGCTGTGGAGAGAGAAAATAAATACTAGTTGGAGAAAAAAGTTAAAACAATCATTTCAGAAAATCTGTCAAAAGAAGGAAAAAAGAAAAAAAACATGAAAAAATTTATTTGCCTTCTTCTGCAACAGTTTTCACTGTAAAACTTAAAGACCAAGTTCCCTTCTTTTTTTTTTTTATACATTTACAGTGGTCTCTAGGATTAACAAATGCCTTATGAGCTGATCTCCATGAGGGAAAAAAAGCTCTAGCACTCCTGTTTCAGGAACTGGAAGCGAGCAAGAGGAGTCGAGAGCAGAACATTGCAGGACTTTGAACTTCATTTCATGATATTTGGACATCTTGCCTCTGATTGGCTAACAGCAACACAACTCTACCACTGACTCTGTTTGTTCTGAAACATGGATGTTTTATCTCCACAAATAACACAAACCTGGAGGAGTTATGTTGTGTTATGAAGTTGCTAATGCTAACAGTTAGTTTCAACTGGCCAAGACGTGCTCTGCTCTTTCCTGGATGCTAAACCAACAACAGCCTTCCCCTCTGCGAGCTAAGATGGGTGACCGATCATATTTCAAAGCGCACAAGTAAAAGACGGTTTCACAGTGAACTTGGTCTTTAAAGGAACCTCAACCCATCTGAAGCGTATGGAGTTTTAGCAGAGAAGAGTATTAACAGACAACTTTTTAAGCCTTGCTTTCAATAACATCCCTACTTTTTATAGTCTAAATGATAAAAACACACCCTGATCCAGGTCACATTTAAATTAAACACTCATTCAGCGGGTAAACAAAAAAAAAGGGGATTTTAAAATATCAAGGCATATATTTTTATTTTGTGGTGAAGCCCTAAGATATTGTGATATGAATGTTCTGCTGCATAAGTAATTATGAGCAAACAAAAGTGCACTGATGTCACTTAATGCATGAGTTTATTCTTCTCTAAATGGTTTTAAATCACTCCTTGTCACGCTTTTTAAACAAAAAGTCGTGTTCTCTACTCACCACAAACAGCGTGCATTGTCTTTCTGACTTCTCTGGCCACTTGGGCAACCCGCTCTTATTCAGTCTGACAAAGAACCTTTCACTGCACAAGAAGAGACAGAGAGAGATATGAACAAGGTCAGGAGCGGTGGCTGGGTGTCACACAAAAGTAAACAGCAGTGTCCAAGTTACTGCGAGCTGGAGCAGAATAAAGATTAGAACCAACGTCAGAGATGTCAAACGTGGAGCAGTGGGCACCGGAGGAATCGCTTCAAAGTTCAGTCTGCACACTGAGGCTGTCCCAGACACAATATGAGACAGGAGACAGACAGGCAGTGGAGAGAAAGATGACTAAGCCTGAACAAAATCTCCAACACACACCATCCGTAAAAAGGTTTGACATGTGGCTTCTTGATGGCTGAGTAAAAACCCCTCTGACACATTTTATCAGATACTCGACTGTCATCAGAAAATAGTGATGACTCACAAGTAAAAATGTATAACCTGAACACATCCAAACTGCTAATCTGGCTGTCATGAATCTCTTTTTAGTGACAGACAGGCCTACGGTAAATCAGGGCTGCTATGTCCAGATAAATGTCGTCGTCGTCGTCTTCCTCCGCTTATCCGGGTCCGGGTCGCGGGGGCAGCATCCCAACTAGGGAGCTCCAGACCGTCCTCTCCCCGGCCACCTCCACCAGCTCCTCCGGCAGGACCCCAAGGCGTTCCCGGACCAGATTGGAGATGTAACCTCTCCAACGTGTCCTGGGTTGACCCGGGGGCCTCTTGCCGGCAGGACATGCCCGAAACACCTCCCCAGGGAAGCGTCCAGGAGGCATCCTGACCAGATGCCCAAACCACCTCAACTGGCTCCTTTCGATCCGGAGGAGCAGCGGTTCTACTCCGAGTCCCTCCCGAATGTCCGAGCTCCTCACCCTATCTCTAAGGCTGAGCCTGGCAACCCTACGGAGGAAACTCATTTCGGCCGCTTGTATCCGCGATCTCGTTCTTTCGGTCATTACCCAAAGCTCATGACCATAGGTGAGGTTTGGGACGTAGATCGACCGGTAAATCGAGAGCCTGGCTTCCTGGCTCAGCTCCATCTTCACCACGACAGATCGGTTCAGCGTCCGCATCACTGCAGACGCCGAACCAATCCGCCTGTCGATCTCCCGATCCCTCCTACCCTCACTCGTGAACAAGACCCCGAGATACTTAAACTCCTCAAGTAGAGGAGCAGATAATTGTCAAAAGAAATAAATTAAATGTTTGATATGTTAAACTAATCCCACTTGACTAACTTGTTTTCTATGTAGCGGTTCAGAGATTCCGTACAAAGATGAGGAAACTTTTCTTCCCTGGGAATAATCAATACATTTGTGGTGGTCTCTTGTAGGAATGAATGCCTTGTAAGTTTGACCCTAGGGAAACAAAGCTCCGGTGCGCAATTTTCAGGAAGTAGAAGTGAGCCACATCCGAGGACAGCACCAGACTGCAACAATCGTGCAACTTTGTTGCAAATGTTGCATTTTGGTCAGAAAGTTTCCTTGTTCCTACCAATGTACTCTTATTTTATTCATGATGACTTTAAGAATGTTATGATTCTATAAATACTAGGGATGTGTATTGGTGAAACTCTGGCAATATGATACGTATCACGGCACAGGGGTGACGAGACAATGTATCACGATATATTGCAATATTGCATTCAGTCAGACGTTATTAGCGATTTTTATTTGACTGAATTGATTCAATAAACAGTCCAAACTAATACTTAACATGTTTAACATGAGGTATCTGAACCATTACAGAAGATTGTTCATTTAAATGGTGGAAACAAAACCCACTGCACACTGTTGCCAACTAGGGGTCAGTGTTTGAATTACACCAAAAGACAAGAAAAAACTCAAATGTTTGCATGTAAATTCTTCCAAAAATTAGATAAACAGCTTTTGAATACTGATATAATGTAGCTGGAAAAAATATCAGGATATATTTCCATATCGATATTTTCGATACACAGCTTTTGAATATCGATAGAACACTGGGAAATAGTTAGCCGTAACAGATCACTGCATAAGAGAAAACCATTAAATGGACTGGGACAACACAAGGATCATAAACACCGAACAACAAAAATACAAAAGATGGATAAAAGAAGCTATCGAGATAAGGAGACGTGGATGTGGGACCGTGAACAGGGACGATGGAGTTTACACGTTGGACCGCGCATGGGACTGCATCGTCGGAGAGGGGAGAGCGGGCAGCAGAGGGCGACAACGTCCTCTGCTGCCCGCAGATAAACGGAGAAGGAAGTGACGCCACCATAAGTGTCAGCTCTGAAGAAGTTTGCAGCTGCAAACGAAACGTAGCGACAAAACAGGTAACAAAACTGCTCTGTGTTTTAAAAAAGAACTACAGCATGGAATATATCATCAACAGCTGTGAGACACAGACAATTACCTACATAAAATGTAATATACATACATTACATCTGAATTGGTTACTACATGTTTGATTTCTAACAAATTAAACCAACACTACAAACACTTTCAGAAAAAAATGGATTATTCTTTAAAAGATAACAAAAAGGCTTCTGATCTCAGCATAGCTGAACTCAGAGCTGCTTCATAGAGCACCAATGCTGGCCTCAAATACCGCCGCTCCGTTGAAAGTAAATGTCGCCGGAAATCAGCAAGGACCGACTCTGATTGCTTTTTTATTCTTTTTGTGTTTGACCCTCTCATCTCACTCTGGCTCTCTTCTCTAAACTGTGCGTTTTAAAGCGGGGCAGCAGAGACACCCTGCAGGGCCCCTCTCATCCTGGCTGACGAGCTAAGGGCTAATCCAGTTAGGTGACTTTCACAGTCTGCAGATAAGCAGGGCGAAACCTTGTAATTCACCAGCGTCTGACTGACTCCGAGCCAAGCTGCCAGTACTGCTAGAGCGAGGCCCGTTCAGCTACGAGCTCCAAACTCCTAACAACAACTGTTAAATGTAAATAAGAGACCAGTACTGTAATTCAGAGTTTTGTAAATGTAGGGCATGCCCATACCCGAGTTAATTATGCTCCTGATTATTAATTATACAAACCTTTGTGATTTTTCATACATGAATTCCTTCAGTAACGTTTTCCTTTCATGAGCCATACTGAACTGATCCAGTTTGGTTTTACTTAGAGGCCGTTGTTCCTCATTAGCTGCTCCCTGTAACTTTCCACGCTATTTATCCAAACATACCGAGACAGATTTCTATGGATTAGACATGAAGCTTTGCACATGCTTCCCCGAACCCTAATTAGCGCTCTTATTGTGGGAACCCCCAAACCACCAATTAACAACCGCTCTGGCGCAAACACACGAGTCTCCCTCGCCTGCTGCAGATGTCTGCACCGCAGCTAAAAGGACCAAATCCCTGTCGGGACCTTATCTGACTCCATCGTCGCCCCCATTCACATAACATGAATGGCGGACTTCCCTCCCCTCTGGGCCTTTGTGCTAGTTGCTATTCCCTCTGCTCTTATCAATGATTGCATTAGGGAGCTGAGAGCTCACCCATTGGGGGGGGGGGGGGGGGGGGGGGGGGGGGGGGCAGGGGAGCACCAGACGTGTAAAAACACCAGATAAATTAATTAACAGCCACCTCTACCTTTCAGCACAGAGCTGTTCATTTTTGGAAATGACCCTAATCATTTTCACGATTACTCATTTTGGGAAACTATCCAGAGTTCACATTTTAACGAGAGTGCGGGAACTGGTTTAAATCAGCGGGTGGCAGAGTTGAGTTGGATATACTTGTGCACTATATAGCACACATGACAATAACGTTTACTTTGACAGCCAGGAAATGCATTAACCTTTTTAGAAAGGCATACTTTCTCTGTGGATTCATGGTAAATGGTCTGTATTTGTACAGCGCCTTCTTAGGGGTCTACAACCCCCCAAGGTGCTTCATCACACAATCAGTCACTCACCCATTCACACACAAATTCACATTCATATGAACAGTTTACAGATGGAAAGTAGTTGTTTAGATGTAATCTGGTGCAGAGCATCTCTGTCTCTATTAGCCTAATGCTTCTGTACACTGCCATAAAAGCAGAGAAGAGCTGCCCAAATGTTCAAACTGAAAATCAGTGCAGATAAATCTTACCATGCACTAATTTATGTTGGAAATAACAAAACGTTGATGTTGTTGTTAGCCTCAAGGGCAACATGCCGACTATCACTTGTAAGTCGCTTTGGATAAAAGCGTCTGCTAAATACATAAACATAAACATAAACATAAACAAAACGTCTTTAACTTGAGAATTGGAGACGGATGCACCGATTCTGTTTTAGAGGGTGTAGCAATGCTGGTTTTTGATTACTGCACAACTCTGACCTGTGTATACAGATATACGTTGATTCACCTAATTAACAGACAAATATATTTTTTTTCATAAATAACATGAAAGTCAACTTTATTCATAATACATTTGCAGTGGTCTCTACTAGGAATGAATACCTCGTAGGTCGTATTCAGCGGGAAAACAAACCTCTGGTTCACTCTCTTTGAGGACATAGAAGTCAGTTGGAGGAGAAAATAGCTTCCGGCGACAGGATTTGGTGTCTTATTTCCTGGTATTTTGACATCTCGCCACTGATTGGCTGAAAGCAATGTGACTCGACCACTGACTCTGCTTTTCAACGTTGATGTTTTATCTCCACAAATAAGACAAGCCTGGAGAAGTACAACTGTGTGGTGGAGCGGCTAATGCTAAAAGTTTGCGCTAAACCAACAACAGCCTTAATTGTTGCTAGTCAAGATGGGTGAGTCCAATGTTAAGTGACAGTGTGACGTAGATCTGTCAGAGTTTTTCCGTCAATGTTCTATCAGAAGCTAATGCTGGAAATAGGGGTAGGAGACTATTTTCACATTCAGCCTGCATGTCAAACTCAGAGTGCCTGATTCATAATCAGAAATAATAAGTAAAAAACGGTTTGTCAGGAAAAAACAAAAAATAAATAAATTACTTGATTTCAGCCAACAAAACTGACATCAGTGCATTTTCAAACAAAATTTCTTTTAATGATATATATTTACTGTGGATTACATTGTTTTTTTATGGTTTTGAGGAAAAAGATCAAATCTGATGAATTATCAACCCCAACTTCCGCTTATCAACCAAACTGTCTACTTCTGACCCATGAGGAAAATAAAAAGACGACAAAACTACTCATTAGAAAACCAAATCCAAAACAAAGCTAAATGATAAAAACATGAGCACAAAAGCATCACACGAGCTCTGCTTGCACTGATGTCCCTGTAGGAAGGTGATGTAAGGCGCAGAAAGCTGCGTAATCATTGTTTGTTCTAGAATAACAGAAAAACCTACACAATAAAGAAAACAAAACCACATCAGGAGGAGCAGCGTGAGCTTGGTACAGTAAAACAACGTGTGAGTGTGTCCCACTTTAAAACGAGTCTCTGCTGAGCACAAAGAGGCTGCACAGTGGCTGCTGGTGTTGGCGTGGTACTGAGACAACGGGTCAGACCCCCATCTGCTCTCACAGAAACACCACCCGCTCAGAGCAGAGTGGCAAACGTGGCTTCCTGCCAGCCGGAGTGTGCTAATGTGTGTGTGTGTGTCCATGTTTATGTATGTCACCAGACAGTGCGAGACAACATTGGCAGACTGCCACGGCGATCTTTTTCCAAAAAGGCAAACACTGAAACGCAGGGGGAAAAACCAGAAGCATAAAGCCAGAATTCTTACAGGTTCTGACCCTTGCTGTTTCTGACATTTTAGCTGTAATTACTTAATGTGGACACATTTATTCTATTTGGATTCATTCTGACGTTCTTGCTTTGCAGAGAGCGTCCAGCAGACCACCAGAGCCAGAGCCTACTCAATCTTTCAAAAGAGTAGGAAGACGAGAGGAGAGGAAGGATGCAGGTAAAGAGGAAGAGGTGGATAATGATGATGAGGAGGAGGGGGAGAGGGAAGACAATATGATCCAGAAGATACATAACTGGGCAGCTTTAACCACCCACTTCTAAACATAAAGAAAATGAAAACAACATTTTACTTGATGATCTTAGATGTAAACATAGAAGTGAAGTCCTTCTGTGCTGTGCTGAGTAAAGGCTATCCTCTCACGCCGCTTCCAGTCACCACGATGTTTCATGATGAACACCGCAGAAGGAATAGCCCATTTAAGCTCCCCAAGGGTTCCTGCACACAGACCTGTTAGCCTGGTGATGATCTGAAGGTTTGTGATTATCCAAGATAATCTAAAGCAGAATAAAGAGCTTCTGGTCCTGGAGGCCTGCCAGGAGGTTCTATACATCAACTTTAGCTTAGAGGCTGCTGGTGCACACAAACGTCCTCAGATAAACTCTGGAGGAAGACTGGAAAGTGGTTCTATGGTCTCAGAGGTGGAAAAAAAACAACAACTGAGCTTTTACATTTAGCATCACTGCTTGGTGGCGTTAAACAACCTCAGGTACATGCATTTACAGCTGCACCCCTAGTAACAGGTGTAACTCTTTTAGTGTATAAGCACTTGTCTCAGTACTGGGTAGTACGCAGATCTGAGAAAAAGTGGTATCTGTGCATCCCTGGTTCTGCTTTGTGCGTTAATCCAGAGTGTGATCTACATCAGTGACGCCAGACTCCAACCAAATGGTCTTTGTAGTTTCAGAGTAGAGCCAGAGTTTACGCAGCGCAGCCACTAAACAACAGAAGCCACCAACATCGCCCTCGTTCCTTCTGTGCGGCACTGTGGGGCGAGGAGAACCGTCATCAAAGCATGACTTATCAGAAGAACTTTCTCTGCCTCAGCGCTCGTTTCTTCAACCTACTCGTTTTTTAAGATTCCTGTTTGTGTCATGAAACGAAATTCCTTCCCTTTGATCTGTGAAACTGGAGCTAAAACACGGTCTCGTTGTTTATTGGGATGACGTGTGTGTGTGTGTGTGTGTGTGTGTGTGTGTGTGTGTGTGTGTGTGTGTGTGTGTGTGTGTGTGTCTGTGTCTGTGTCTGTGTGTGTGTGTGTGTGTGTGTGTGTGTGTGTGTGTGTGTGTGTGTGTGTGTGTGTGTGTGTGTGTGTGTCCGGCCCTGCTTCCTTTATATTAGATTTAATAAACAGTTTTTTTTTAAACCCGGTTTCTGTGAATATCTGTATTTACAAAGATTTTTTTAAACCTCTACCTGAGCGGTCGATTCTCCCGTCCATCATAAATGTGAAAGAAGACTTCAAGCTCCTCCCCCAGGTTGGCGCTCATCAGGCTCTTCACATGGACGAACAAATGATGGGTGCTAGCAGGCGCTGCTGCCTCCTTCTTACGATGCCGATGCTCCATCTGAAACAGATGTAAAACCTACCCTTAGAAACCTTGGAGTTTTCTTTGACAAGGGAATGTCTCTTGAACATCACTCAAAGCAGTTAACTAGAAACTGTTTTTACCACTTGAGACAAACTAAACTCAGAACAATGGTGTCTAAAGTTGATCTTGAGTTGATTATTCATGCGTTTACATCATCCCGTTTAGACTACTGTAATAGTTTATTTTCTTGTCTAAACAAAAAAGAGCTGTCCCGCTTACAACAAGTCCAGAATTGTGCAGCTAGAATTCTGACCCGTGACAACAGAAGGGCCCACATTACCCCCATTTTAAAATCTCTTCATTGGCTTCCAATCTCATCTCGCATCAATTTTAAAATTCTTGTGCTGACTTTCAGAGCGCTGCATGGTCTGGCTCCGTTGTATGTTCGAGACATGCTCTGCCCTTACACGCCTTCTCGCAGGCTGAGATCACTGGATCAAAACCTTTTAATGGTCCCACGTACTCAGTTCAGGACACGAGGAGATCGCTCATTCCAGGCCGTCGCTCCTAGGCTCTGGAATGAGCTACCTCTGTCATTACGCTCAATCGACTCAGTTGATGTTTTTAAGAGCAATCTTAAAACCCATTTGTTTCTCCAGGCATTTTAAACTTAGTCTCATTCAGATTGGTTGTATTTGACACTATGTATATTGTGGCTGTATTTTACTGTATTTATATGTTGTTGCCTTTTAACTTGTGAAGCACTTTGTGACCTTTTTTGTCTGTGAGAGGTGCTATACAAATAAAGTTACTTACTTACTTACAGAAAGGGAAATCTGACTTGAACTCAAAGTGCTAAACTAAATAGTGGTTAGCTCGATATTCAGAACAATCTTCAAGAACCAGATGAAAAAAAGAGGACGAACGCAGTTCGAACCAGAGGAAAAAACACTGGTTGAGTTTCTTTAAACACCAGCCAATCACATCTTGGTGTTGAAGTCAAATTTAAACGGCGTCCCCTTGAGACATCTCCCACTAGGGATTATTTTTTGTTTGCAGATTTGCATTCATCACTGAAGTAGATAGTTTGCTCTCATAGACCGAGTAAATAAAAAGTCACCAGCACTGGGGGGTGGGACTGGAATATTTGAATTGTATTGTCAAATTGCTAGTGGCATGAATCAAGAAAACAACCCTGGATGTGCAGCAAACTGAATATTAACCCCACAAAGAAACAGGTTTTATAGTTTTAGTAGCTTGTATAAGCATGGCACTGTTGTGTAGATTCAAAGAAATTAAAATAAACCGTCTTTTCAATAAATAGTTTGTAGCAACACTCCTTAAACCTAATCCTAATTTATTTCTTGTTTGTGTTTTAAAGATGCCTGCTCAGGTGGTAGAGCGGGTTGCCTCATGATCGGAGGGTCATGGGTTTGATTCCAGCTCCCGCCAGGGATATCCTGCTGTTGTGTCCTTGGGCAAGACACTTCACCCAACTTGCCTGTGTTAGTGGTGGTCAGAGGGGCCGACGGCGCCAAATGGCAGCCTCGCCTCTGTCGGACCTCCCCAGGGCGGCTGTGGCTACAAGTAGCTTACCATCACTAGCAGTGTGTGAATGTGAGAGTGTGGAAAGCGTCTTTGGGTGTCTAGAAAAGTGCTATATAAGTTCAATGCATAATAATAATAATAATAATAATAATAATTATTATTATTATTATTATTATTATTATTATTATTATTATTATTATTATTATATCGCCTGATAATCAGCTGGTTTTACGTACATTTCTGAGCTTGCAAAAACCAGCTACTGATTGGAATGACACATTATTTTCCAAGATTTGCTTCATTGTGAAAGGTCCTGCCCCAAGCGGAGAGGTTCAAGTATCTCAGGTCTTGTTCACAAATTATGCAAAAATGGAGCTAAACTTTTTCAGAATCCAACTCCAAACAGAGACATTGTTTCTTGGACAAAAGACAAGACAAAATGGCAATAAAAGATGTCATGGAAACATGATTTACACTCTAATGGCTAACGTGAGATAAACATCGAGGATTCAAATGTAATGAATGGTATGCTTCAGAAAACAGTCTGCTGTTCTGCAAATAGATAAATGAGAAGCCATTGACATGCACATGAGCCTTAAACATGCACAAAGTTGACGCCACAAATCATTTTACGATTACAACGGCTTTCGAAGTGATGGATGTGTTTTGCTTTGTCACGACTCCTCTGCCTGACTGAGATCCCAGAAATAACCAGCTGTTGTTCCGATGATCTAAGGCTGGATCGGCGCTCATGCACAGAGCTGGGCTGAGCCACTTGTTTTGACGTGAAACGACTAGGCCTAATTTATGCTGTGGGATTTTGTTATGTGGTTATTTTCAGCATGTCGTTTAGGACGCACGGTGGGGAGAGAATGTGGTCATGTGACATCTTCAGCATGACTAGACACAAAAGGGTAGTTATGAGAGCTTGGCATCCCTTCTGCCAAGACACGATGTTGTGGGCGACGAGGAGAAGACCAGAAGAACATGCTCGTGTCTTATTAACCATTCAGAAATCCTTGCAGAATCTGAGTGTCATCTTATCTCAGGTTCTGTGATGTTCCAAGGTCCAACAGAAAAGAAATAAGCCACTAAGGATAGTGAATGTTAAAAAAAACATGTGACAGGAGTGAGATCAAATAAGACATGGGTGTCCAACCCTATTCATCCATGGCCACTATCCAGTGTGGGCAGCAACGTAAGAACTACATTGTTCAGGGAGCCATGCTTCCTCGCTGTGCACATGGCAACAAGCTTTGAATCTTGAATCAGTGGAAGAAATTGCATGGCCTGTTTGTGCTAAGGTCTTATTTAAAGTCTAAGATCTGCATGCTGAAGGAAAAAAGTAGTGGTGCAGAAGACAGTTTTAACCAGACTCTCCACCGCAAAGGAATCTAAAATCTGGTCTGCTTACTAGGGGTCTGGACTGATCTCAGTCTCCAAAAAATGCTACGTTTGATGTAGCATTTGTGCATTTCCAAAGTAACACCTCTAGCCTCAGACAGGGGAACTAATTAAGGATTTTTTATTATTTTTGGGACTTGAAGCTGAAGTTATGATTGCTAAATTTTATACTTACATAAGTTAATTAAGCGTAGGTAAAACAACAGGTAACCGTCCTCCTAAGCATTGTAGTGCATAAAGTTGCTAACCAAGCTCAAGAACGACATAAATAATCCTCTTATCCTCGACATTCAGCATATAATGCCGTTTTGGAATGACAGTGGGTAGGCCAATTACTCAGGTCAGGAAAAAATAGCTCGTCTTTCCAATGTCTTGGCCTTCATGAACATTTGAAAGACAAGTTTGACAACATTTGGAAAAGTTGGGGTTGCAACCCTAAACTATGAGTTGTGACACATCAAGTGAACCGTTTGTGATAATCTCTAAAAATGAGATTAAAAGCCTAGTTTTCCTTGTAAATGGTAAGCACTTGTATAGCATTTATCCAAGTCAGGGGACTTCAAAGTACTCATTACATTCAGCCATTCATCCATTCACACTGGTGGTGGTGAGCTACAGAGTGGCCACAGCTTCCCTAGGATGCACAGTAGGCTTAGGCGGTATCGCCATATACAACCAGTGTTAAAAATTAGGGGGACTTAGGCTCCCTATAGGGACTTAGGCTCCCTATAGCATCAAATCCTGATTTGGGGCTAATTTAAAGGTTCATTGGTTGCAGATGTACATCCAACAACTACTTTTTAAAACTCTACTGAGAAATTTAGTTCAAGACATTGCTGAGTGACTCCATATAACGATTAGTTGATGTACAACTTTCTGGGGTTCCTGAGAAAATCTATTAATTGGTTCAGAAACAGACAATGGTTGTCATTACTTCCTTGTTTTACTAGATTTTTTCAATACATTTTGACCAAGGATAGCAAAAATTAGGAGTCTTGTTCACCTTTAATATTTGAATGGACGCTACACAGTTTAAATAGTGGGTTACTTTTAGCATGCTATTCAGCTGACAAACACTAATTAAGACAATCTCTTCTTTTATGATAAAGACTCATCTAATAAGGGTCTAACTAGAAATATTAATGTCATTTAGGCTTATTAACTCGTGTATTGTCTTTCTGTGTGAGGTGGTTTTCCATGTACTTTGTTAATCTCATCCCACCAAGGGAGGAATTGCAGTTATTTGCTCATTTTGTACACCATTTAACAGAGGTGTGTTACGCTTTCATCCTGCTCCGGCTGTTTTTGTTTTGACTAACAACAACAACAACAATGGGAAAAAGAAACAGATGGATTAAGAGCCTCAATTACCCCTCCAAAGGGAAAGCCAGCACAATGCATGTGCGATATAATCCTCCCTGGTCTGTATTGGGGAGAAGAAGTGGTTGCCACGGCAACAATGGATGGAACTTGGAGGAAACGGGTAGGACAATCAACGGGAGTGAACAGTGGGGAAAGGAAGGAGGGAAATATAGAGGCAGATGGAAGTGGGGGGGGGGGGGGGGGGATTTCAGGCAACTGCTTGTGAAGTTATTGATATCAGTGGCTCATGAAACAACAAACACCAAATCTGTTAAGCAAACTGCTTCTTCCGAGGTCAACGTTGGCTCTCAATGCCAAAATATGATGAGCCTAAATGTTCTTGGCCAGCCTAAACAATTATGTTGTTTTCAATCATTTTGCTCCATGAGATAAGTGGTAGGTGAAGTATCTGTCAGCTGCAAGATCAGAGAACACAAACAGATGACTTCAGTTAAAGCTGCATTAGCAAATACACAAAACAAGCTAGCTTTTAAATACAAACATGGTCACAGAACATTCACCCCTCCAATCAGCAATCATCCCTAGACCACGCACAAACGATACATAACGATCGATAACGAGACAGTGCTAAAACCCAGTCACCGTTTTCTACGTCCAATCGTTTTTTTCTGTCCGTGACGTCAAATGGTGTTTTACTTTTTGGACTTTGGTAGTTTGTCCTGAAGTTGAAGCGGTAGTAGTCGGCCGTTTCTCATTCCCTGATATTATTGAGCAGAGAACCTCTCACACCAGTGGTGTTCTGTTGCAAAATGTGTGAGTTTGTAATATGGAGGACCCAGGTAAATGTTGAAGCACTGTGGTATGGTGAGTCAGACAACCGTATGGTCCAATCGTTAGTTTCGGACCGAGCCGTGTTATTGGCTGAAGTTTTTAGACAAAAACGACAGAATCACTGCATTAGTTTTTTTTATCTCAGGAGGGGTGAGTGTTCCGTGACCATGTTTGTGATTGAAAGCTAGTCTGTTTTGCATATTTGCTAATGCAGTTTTAAAGTCATCAACGGAAATGTTCTCTTTTCCACTAGAAAAAATGTACAAAATGGCTTCCTAAGTCAATATTTAACATTGGATCGTTTTTTTTTTTTTTTTTTTTTACACTTGGCTTCCTCAACCAGCCCACATAAAACCCACAAGCATGCGCACTCCAAAACGAGATCTTGAGTTCTGGTCTTAATGTCGTCACAAAGGCAGGATGTACAGTACCATATATGGACAGCTCAGAGCAACTCCGCTATAGCCCGCACCGCTCCGCTTCCAGAAAAGACTTTGTTTTAACTTTCATTTTGGAACTAAAGTAATAATAGTTCGTACATTAAAATATCAAAATTTTATTGGCCTAACATCGTTTCAGCTGTCATTAAGCATCCAAATGTTTCCTGGGTTTTAACACCATTTTCAGTAATAGAAATATTTTCAGTGACAACATGTCACAGGGATAGCTCAACTAGCAAGACACCTGACTTCCACACGGAGGACCCGGGTTTGAATCCAGGCTGGGATATCAGATTGTTGTTTGGAGTTTTTATTTTTATAGTGGTATTATTTGCTTACAGTAATAAGATGCCCATTTTTTTATTTTTAAATGTCCAAATGAGACGTGCCGAAACACATTGCATTCACAGCCAGAAAAGACTGGCTTTCCAAATGGCTAAGCTTTCATTTTGAACTAATTTTCAACCATGACGAGATGTTCAATTAAACTAATTTAAGGTGCAATATAAATACATTTTTATATCTGGTTTTAGCACCCTTGGGTGTTTTACGGTAGTGAGCACTTACTATTCACTTAATATGGTAATATTACTCCCACATTAGAGGATGTGACATTGTTTGTCGTCTTGCAAATAGCTTGCATTTATAGTTCTGAACGACTCATTAAAGGAAGTAAAATGCCAAACTAACTCATTATTGACTTTGCACACACATTTCAATGTAATATTAAGTTGTTAGTAATTGAAAAGGTAGCCTAAAATATTTTTAGAACCAACTATTTGCTTCTAATTCACAGTTAGCATTGTTAGCTCAACGTTAGCCTCTAGCCTGCTTTACCCGATATAAAACAAAAAGACGCTGTGGATTCTTAGCAAAACAGGAAATAACTTCTCAGTCATTCCTGTTTACTGGCTTTGGTTCTTTAAGCAACTCGAGTCTTGTGCCTGCTGGTGTTGAATTATAAATGCCGGCGCTGCAGCGTTAGCTCGTCAGAGACTCTGCAACCTCACAGGCTCACACAACGTAAACAGTGACTACGTCCCTCTTTAGTTTTTTTAAAGGAGAAAAACTGACAATCCCCCAGCCGGCTGAGTGTCACAAACTCCGACTACTGACCACCCCTCACAGACTCAACTAGCCTGAGAACTACACTACCCAGCATCCCCATCACCGGCACAGCCGATGACGTCATCACACAGAGTCTATTTACAGAAGTGCCTGAGCTGAGCTGTCACTCAGTCATCGTTTGTTCCCAACACTGAACCGAGTTCTCAGGTTCTCCAGCCATTCTAACCAAGGAAGACATCCTTCCACTCTGTCTACCACCAGTAAGTCAGCTCTTTTGTTTATCTGGAACCGCCACTCAGCTTCGGCTCTCTCCGAGCACTACGTCGCCGTTCCTAGATTAAAGCCGCGTACTCTGTCCAACCCAACACCAGTTACTCCACGTCTGGGTCACACAGCCACGCAGCAAGTGACTTTCACTCCACGTCAGCTCAGCCTTCCAAATCTGACAGGATGACTGAGTCCAAGATTGACCCAGCGGAGTTTGCTTGCCTGCATGCAAAAGTTTCCCAGCTGCACACCGTTGTAGATTGTCAAGCGGCCAAGCTCGACTCTCTAACCATGCTGGTTGTCCAGCTCTCAAACGCTTTCCAACGCCAAGCCTCGGCCGCTAGCGACAGATTGGAGCCTCGTCTCAGCCTCCCGGATAAGTGGGATGGAACCAGGGGATCAAAGGAAGGCATGCTGGCCACCCTGGCGATGACGTTTGAATGCCAACCAGCTCGCCATCCCACTTCCTGCTCTCGAGTTGCCCTATTGACTTCCCTTCTGACGGGTCAGGGTTGTTCATCCCAGCAGCGAGGTTGTCGATGAGACCCGACTGCTCCAACTCTGCCAGGGCTCCCAGATGGTGGCCCATTACACCTCCTGCTTCCGGACCACGGCTGCCCGGTTGACCTGGGACGACGATGCCATTTGCCTGGAAGGGTTGTCTCCCCGAATCCGCGAAGGCATGATCGTTCATGAGGCCCCGACCTCCCTGGATTTGGCGGTGGACTTGGCTCTCCAACTCGACCACTGCATCCTCACCTGACCGAGCTCCATCTCCACTCCCGTTCACACCTGACCATTTCCCTGTCTACAAGGCAGCCCGATGGTGGAGGAGCCCATGCAGCTGGGCCATCTGCCCCCCGAGGAACGGGCGCGATGCTACCAGGAGGGACGATGCGCCTACTGTGGGGACCTGGGCCATCACCGAGCTATGTGCCCGATATGGCCGGGAAACGGGCCCTCCGGGTCGGAGTAGGCGCAATCCCTCCTGGAGTCTCCACTTCCCCAGCCCCAAATCGCACCACTCTCCCGGTCACCCTCCAACTGGACCAAGGCCCAGTCCCACTGGAAGCCCTTCTCGACACCGGTGCCACCGAATATTTCATCGACTGGCACCTTGCCACCCAGCTACGTATACCCCTTACTGCCCTGGAACGACCCATTCCTATCACCTCAGTGGAAGGCCGTCCACTCATGCCATATCAAGACCTCCGCATGACCATCAACCAGTGTGTGGAGACCCTACACTTCCTCATCATCCTGGCCCCGGCTACTCCTCTCATCCTGGGTCATTCCTGGTTCTGCCGCCATGAATCTCACATATCCTGGTCCACCAGAAAGGTACGGGGGCACGGCCTGTCTGACCCACCGGGTTTCCCCGAACCCCCACAATAGACCAACTCCATCCAGAGACGTGGACCTGAAGCTCGTACCCCCTCAGTACCATGATCTCGCTCAGGTCTTTGCCAAAGAACCTACCACCCGGTTGCCCCCACATCGACCATACGATCTGGAGATCAGGCTTTAGCCTGGGACCACCCCTTCTCGGGGCCGCCTGTTCTCACTCTCCCCGGCGGAGACCAGGGCGATGAACTCCTACATCGACGAAGCTCTCCAACGGGGGTTTATTCACCCCTCCACCTCTCCTGGGGCCGCAGGATTTTTCTTTGTCAAGAAGAAGGAGGGGGATATCCGACCATGCATTAACTACTTTCATGCAACTTTCGCTCCACGTCAGCTCAGCCTTCCAAACCGGACACTGAGAAGGAAATCTGTTTCAATATGGTTGAGACAGACCGTTTTTTGATTATTTCACTGTAAATTTATAACATATTGCTCTTTTAATTCAATTAAAAATGCTTAAATAAATATTAATTTTTCCAAACTGGATAATAAAGGAAATGGGAATATGTAAACCTTATAGACTGGGAAAGGTTATAATTTTTGTCATAAATTAATCTCATCCATAGAGCTTTGTGTCAAAGCCAAAAGAACAAAAACAGAAAATCCTACAAAGACACTGAACAGCAAATAAACAGGCAATAAAAAGTCAACAAAACATAAACAGACATGAGAAACCCGTAATCATAACTCAGCAGAAGCACAGATTCATAGAAAGGCTAACTCTCCACCCATCTGAGAGCTGGTTCTTCAGATCATCAGCATTATAATTGCAGCGGTGATTCACCAGAGCAACATAGAGAACCGTGATTCAGCTCACCAGTCTGTAAAGCTCTGTGACGCTGATTTCATCAGGGTCCACCATGCTGAACTCCCGCCTGGGGACCAGGTCCAAGCCGAGTTGTCTGAAACACAAAGGACAGCTTTTAAAAGGACTGGGTATCATTTTTTATTTCTTTTAAGGATGCAAGTGTGTTTTAATCCTCATTTGTTCCCTAACCAAGCTGATACAGAGCAAAGGGACTTCATTTTTGGCAACTGGGGGAAAAAAAGAAAAGAGTAGGATAAAAGCCCACAGCAAGAAACTATGCAAACACCTCCTCACTATGAAGTAATGTGTGACTGTCTGAGGATGGTCAGCAACAGAGAAATAAAGTAGATCGACAAGAAAGGGCACCGGGATGTGACACAAGTTGTGTGTTTTTCCTTTCAACTCCACAGCACTGAGTGGAAAAAAGAAAGAGAAAACAGCAGGAGGGACGGAGTTAGAGAGAGAAACAGGCTTGAACGAGAGTAGAGTGTGCTTTGTAGGGAAGGTAGGTAAAAACAAAAATAGAAGAGAGGACAGAAAAGAAAACCAGCGAAGTTCCAAAGCGGCAGAAACCTTTGGGAAGAAATATAGAAATGAGAAACTTTTGTATTCAAGGGCATTTGTTACTGAGAACGCTAATGAACCACCGAGTTATCAGAACCCAAAGTACAGACTTAACTGTATTCATTTACCAGAAATATGTGCTTTGGCTGATGGCAAGTCTCTGAAGTAAAAAAAAAAAAAAAAAAAAAAAAAAGAAAAACTGATCAGTAAGATTATTTCTACTTCATGAAAACGGTCTGATAAAACCTTCAGACTAACACTAAAGAGCAAATATTACGCTGGCTTTACTGCACTGATGTGTTCTGTAGAATATTTAACATCATGCAATAATTCAACTTTAAGCAACTGAAAGAAATGGAGACAAATGCAGTAAAATAAGCCCAATGAGAAAAGTCCAAATGTACACCAAGTCCAGCAGAATGCTAAATCCAATAGCATGCTAAGCACAATAAGTCCAATAGCAAGCTCAGTCCTGCAGAATGTTAAGTCCCATATATGGATGTGCCCTGTAGAATGCTTAAACCCATATACTGTATGTATGCCTTTTTTGTCACATAACCGTTCACTTGAGGCATAAAGTACAGTGAACTTTGACAGAATAAAATATCTAACGTAATTAATGTCAGTCTATGGATGCGGATGTCTCTTGACATTGATCATTGACTTAACTCAACGCCAAAGTGGTTGTAATAGTCATCTTGGCAATGTCACCCTCCAACAAATGGTCTCAAACCCGTGTAGAGAAAATGAAGCAAAAGTTACGTCCAGAACGTAAAGTTCAGTACAATCCTAAGTCCCACAAACGATCATGTATCTTGGCTTTCTAAGTCCAGCAGCCTTTCAACTCCCATGAAATGTTAAATCCCATAGCATGGTACGCCCAGTAGAATTCAAGGTCTGGTAGACTTTAATGCCTCACATGAAGTCCTTTAGCAGTATACGTTTCATTAAAGGCTTCCCACAGAATGCCACCTCAGTAGAATGCTAAGTTGGATTGCAATTTGCCTCAGAGTAATGTTTGTCATTTGTTTTTAACTGCTGTAAAAAAAATAAAAAGCAGGCAAAAAGGGAAATGAAAAATGACACAATAATGCCTCCACAACACGATTGATTCAGTACAGTGTGTGTTTCTGCATCATTAAAGAGCCACTTAGAACAGGAATAACTATTTTGTTTACTAAACGTGCAATCTAATTCCACCCTTCTGTCTTTGCTTCATCCAATAATTGAATTTGTTTTAGTAGAAGATGTAAAGGTTTAAAGAATGAAATACAAATCATGACTAATTGCTATTATTGGAATGAAAAATTAAGAAAAACAGTGATGACCTCTGAACAAAGTCTAAAACCCAGAGCATCTCAAAAAGCCAAAACTACCCTTCTGAATAAGTTGACTCATTAAAATGCAGCTACTGTCTTCTCGGACTACCACATATTTTTTTTTTGTCTATAAAAGAGAAAAAATGTGTAAAGAAAACCTTTGACAGGCTAACAAGGGTCAAGAACTAGCAGCAGGGAAAATGAGCAGCGAAGGTTAAGCTGAGATCTGTAGAACAAAGAAAACTTGAATAAGATGTGCTCACAGGGATGCTGGAAAAACAAATCAAAAATTCAGCTGAAAGCTGCAGGAATGTGACCTTCATAGAAAAGTCGTTAAAAAAGAAAAGAGGACCTGTTCTGCAATCCGACTGCATTGTTCAGACCCTGGAGCATCTCAAAAAATGTCCCCAGGGTAAAATGGAAGATTTGGGGATGCGCTTTAAAATTCCTGGATTTTATTATTTTGCTGGGAACATGTGTATGGAACCAAAATGTACATGAAAAATAAAGTTAAATGCATAAAACAAACCATGATTATCTGAAAACATTTAGGAAAATCTGCCTTTCTGCTACTCACTCGTTGCCCCAGTCCAATCGCGCTGTGATGTGCTGCTTGACGTCTCTCATGCGGTCATGAGTGAGGTGGCCGACCAGAACCTGCCTTCGCAGGTCCAAGATTTCGTTCATCACATGCCAAAGCCTGTGGAACAAATCCCCCTCGTTCTTCTGCAGGAGATGAAAAGAAAAGAAAATGAGTGAAAAAAGAAAATGAGCGTAAAAAATTACTTACATTTTTCAGCTAAAAAAAGAAACTTGACACTAAAAGGAACCAAAAGCAAACAAAACAGGCAAAAAATTGATTTAAGCTTCAGTGTCCTGCTGATTTTTCACCACAAATCCATGGCCTCTGATCTGTGAGTATTCATCAGTTCAATTTAATCAGCACATCAGATAGCTTAATATGCTCCAAACACAATCAATTTAACAAACAAAAGAGTTGGAAAAAGCGCCCAATGTTTCTCTCCAGCGGTCAAATAAACTCCTTGCATGAAGCAACTTAAAGATGCTCTTAAAGAGGCGGTGATATTTAAATCCATGCAAAGTGTGCTGGTGCTTCCTACCACATAGAGCTGTTTCCACATGGCACCCCAATCTCGGAGCGTCGATGTCATCTCAGTGATGACCGAGTCTTCCACTGGGATCACAGTCTCAAATTGCCTGTCAGCACACGCACGCACACACACACACACACACACACACACACACACACACACACACACACACACACACACACACACACACACATACACACACACACACACACACACACACACGCTTTTGACTATAGTTTGTTTACATCCAAATCACATGTAAAAGTGCTGAAACATCCCTCACCCTTTGTTCTTAACAACAGCATTCTTCAAGTGGATGTAGCTGGATGGGAAGATCCCCTTTGCAAAAGGTTAAAGAGAGAAGAATCATTTACTTTTCAGAATGAAATTACACACATTATCAATTCAGAAACCAAAGTAAAACTTGTAAAACAAATGCAACACAGTCCAGAACCCTTATAGGCATGCGAACTATTATTAAATTGTTTTCATAAACAGCCATTCCTGCAGAACCTTTCCATTTCTGTGGAATTCTCGGGACAGTCCTGCATGATTTGCTCTTGTGGCACCAGTTGGAAAAGACGGTGTGAAAATGTGGCCTGTTTCAGATCTTTTTCTTCAGTGAAGATTGTGGAAAGTTCCTGTTTCTGATGACGTTTCCATCATTTCTGTGCAGCTGTATCTGCACAGTGAAAAAGTCCACCTCCCAGACCAGTTTCCCAATAGGCCCATATGACATTTTGTTTTTAATTTGCCTTTCAAACAATTATCTCTAAGACGATACAGTAAAAACTGTCTACTATCCACCTGATTGGTTTGTTGCTATGCTGCTTAAATGACCATTGACTTTGGTTCTTTCCAGTGTGCATTAGGTAGTATTTTCTAACAGTGGCTGTTTAAAGCTATACTATGTTAATTGTATATGTTTCTAAATCATTTTCTTGAGCCAGTATGTGCTAAAATGACCCTTTACAGGGTTAATGAAACATCACTGAGACCCCACCACCCTCTGTGGCCAGAATATTGCACTTGCAACTTCAGAGTGGCGGTCCAGTCCCTGTTGGAACCACTAAAAGTGTAGCTGACAAACCAGCCCAGCAGTCTACTTCCAGCGTGTTTCCTGGAGGTTTTAGATCATGAACACAGCTGATTTGTTTGATTAAGTGATGAATCACTCCTGTAGACACTAATGAAGGAAGGAGACATTTCAGCTGTTGGATTAAGATGTTAAAAAGACGAACACACAGTGAGGAGATAAGTTTTGCTTCTGGTTCTACAGACGGACACTAGGGGGTGCCAAAATTGCCTAGTATCCCTTTAAACTATCACTGACAAGGTAATTAATCTCACATGCAGATAGCACTTTAAAATAGCCTCAGTTTGGGTACAAAAGAGATTCGATCCGTTTGAAAATATAAACTAGCGATAATGGGATCAGAAAGAAAGTGTCTTACAACAATTCATAACTCAAAGTGTTCTAGCAGTTTATGCTAATGTCATTTTATAATCAGTAAAATCCCATAACTTTCGCTTTGACTTATATTTGGGGGAAAAGTTGAAAATATAACATTTGTGTAGACTAGGAGATGTTAACGGATCAGAAACCATATAACAATAATAAAGGGTTCAAACAGTCTCCTTCCTTCCATAGAACCTCCACCAGAGGGCAGTAGTCATGTACAGGACAGGAACGGACAGGTTTTAATGAAGGTACTAATCCTAATACTCCATCTTGAAGGCCAGAATTAGCAACAATAATCTACAAATAGTCAATAAAATGCTAAAGTTCAAATGTATTGGTTTTTGTTCACTGGCGATTGCCCAAATGTTCTATGCAAGTGTTCATTTATTTCTCCAAACTGAGGCCTTTCAGCAACAGAGACAAAGAAACACACTTCCAAGTGGTTACAATTCCCTTTATCAGACCCAAGAACGACCTAATATTGAAAAATTTTCCCATTATTGACCATTTACTCGAAAACATTATAAGAAAATCTTCTCACCTTGACGTTGGGATTCTTAAGGATGAATCCTCTGTACCATCCTGCAAAGACAGCGCACGGATTAAATTAGCTGAATGTCACTATGAGGGTCCACGTGAATCCAGAGAGAAGGAACAACTTATCTTCTCATGTTATTACACCCTCCAAAATGGACTTCAGCCAAATTAGCGAAAGCAAAATCCCATCACTAATAGATACAAGCTAATACATTTACATTTCTGCTGATGTTCTTTGCCAAAAAAGACTTTAAGCTCACCCTGCTGTTGCAGTCAATGTAAGTCCCTCCAGATAAGAGCATTAGCTAAAAAGCTCAAATGTAAATGTAGTAGTAGCTTTAATCACTCTTGGCTTTCAGCAGAGCACAAGTGACTTAAGTCCCATCTTTTGGGGGGCATACACGGTCAGACTAATGTTGAGTAATGTGAAACATAAGCTCAGCTTTTCCATTGATGAGTCATTGCTCCAGGATGATGAGCTTAACATTGGTGGCTTGTTGCAAAGCTCCATGGTATAAAGTGCAAAACAAAAACAGCATGATATTTTAATCCTGGAAAAACACATGAAACAGCATGAAAAATCAAACTATGTAATGGTTCCAATTTTAAAAGGTGTGGAAAAGTATGTGTTCTCATACAGATTTCTTCTACCTTTGCTTTTTTGCCAATTAAATGTTTCCGATTAAAAAACTAATTTCTACGGTGAACAAAGCTTAACTTAAACAAACCAACTTGTCCTTGTTGGAAAATGTAATTGATGGTTTTAGACGTTTCTCTAACATGGGTTCAAATTTTCAAGTTAGGAATCCGGAACACTCAGATACTTGAAATGATCTTTTGTATATTTGCTTCAATTAACAATAACAACAACAACAACAACAACAATAATAATAATAATAATAATAATAATAATAATAATAATAATAATAATAATAATAACAATAATAATGGTAGGATAAAAAACTAAAAAGTGATCCTCAAAATTATCTATTTGTCTTTTGTAAAGTATTTCCAAATACATAAAACTGAATCTTCAGCTTAAACTTGTTAATATTTAAAACATTCAGGAACTTCTGGGGGTCCAAGACAGAACCCTGTGGTACACACATTTTACAAGAACTAGAAAGATCCCTCTCGTGAACTTCAACATATTGATAAATATATGTTAATTGTATGATAAAATTCAATTCACAACAAGAATCATCTCACAGCATTTTACAAAGTAAACATTCCAACTGAACCCACCTTTCAGTGCTTTGAGTTCAGTTCATTATTATAATTAGTTAAACATTTTCTATGTAAGAGAACCCAGCAGATTACATCGAGCCACTCAGTGTGGTTACATGCACACTGACTGACATCTAAGTCGATCAGGGGCGACCTTATTGTAATAAGCTGGGAGTCTTTATCCTAGTTTACATGCGCATTAGAAAACTGGCCTCTCAGATAAAGTTTGTTCCACTCCAGTACAGTAGGTGGCGACATGCCTTTTGTTATGTCGGCATTCTTCCAGTTAGCTTATAGCTACACAAGCAGTAAACAAAGACTGGTGGGAGTGAAGCAGACGGAAATGAAACAGGATATGCACAATAGCTGAAGGAATGTACAACCACAACGCTGCAGCACAGCTTATTTGGTTCAGACTAGGGCTGGACGATACAGAAAAATAGTATATAATAGTAAATAGTATATCAATAAATATTTTCAACATAATCGATGATGATTGAAAAATAATTGAAAAATAATTGTAGAAAATATATTTTACATGCAGCCCTGGCCATTTTATTTTTGGTATTTTAATCTTTTATCCACCTGTTCTCGCTGTGACATCTTGCTGCCTCACTACCAACTGATTGGCCAGCTGAAGTTCATGCCTACCTCCTAGAGGTAGCCTCTGATTGGTGGGTAGAATCAGTCAGCGGCATCTTTGCGCGAGCGTAATTCCTTTTCAGTCTGGTTGCAGTGGGGTAAACATCTGTGCTTCATGTCAGAGTCTCCAAAAGCAACACTGCTCACAGCCCTCCTTGTTTAATAACTTAAGGACACCACAGACTTCTCCGCTGGTCTTTTGCCCCGCTCATGCGCTCAGAGACAGCCGCCTCCCTGAGAAAGCTGAGTGAACATAACCTGGCCGTGTAGCAGCATGCCGACCCAACCAGGACCGGCTTGGGCCAACCCAGATGTGAATGTGCCACTAGTGTAGTTCATGGTGGGTGTTTTTCTTTTCTGTACTGAGGTCTCTGGCCCCAGGAACTTTGTTCAAGGGAGAGCTACTGAAGAGCAGAGTCAAAAATCAAACGTTTCATGGAGATGACAAGTCCGTGAAGACACATTCGCCCTGTGAGCTACAGCGTTTTGAAGTGTCAATAGTATCAACATGAGGCAGAGCCATTAGCATGTCTCCTCTGCTGTCAACAGCCCGCCTCTTCGCTGTTGGCAGGATTTTGATTTGAGTCCTCCCCCTTGGGCCAAGCATTCAGCTGGCTGTGCTATTGTCTACTTCCTCTGAGTCTTCAACCACAATATCACGTCCCTCTGACTGGCAAAGCTGCACGACTGACGTTGCTGGCTCTCTCTGTGTGTGTGTGTGTGTGTGTGTGTGTGTGTGTGTGCGTGCGTGCGTGCGTGTGTGTGTGCGTGCGTGTGTGTTTCTATCTCCTGAAAGGAAGTGAAACAAGAGCTCCGGAAGACGAAGGTGACTGTGCACGGTGGCGTATTTGTGGTGAAGTGAGAGCATTGACGTGCTGGGAAACAAATTCACATTGTTCTGAACATTTGGAAGAAAAACAGACCGTAGACAAAATTACAGAAAGAAACAAAGACTTTAAAAAGCATTCACAAGGAAAGGAAGGCAGGAAAAGAGCTTTAAAGGGACTGAAGAGAGGGGAATAACAGAATGAGCTGGCAGGATGTGGGGGAAAAGCTCAGCTGCAGGAAAATGTGGCAAACATGAGTTTCCACTGGCTTCTCCATCACACAAATATGATGCCGTTAATGTGCATGATATATTTCAATCACATAATTAGGATGATTACCTCTAGGTGAACACACTAGAACATCACTAGTTTTCTGCATGCTGCCAGGTACTACTCTCATGAACTAATATATTTGCATTTTGTATGATTTGTGGATTTGAACCAACTTCACGCCCAACATTAATGATTATTGCCTTGCACAGAGCACTGTGTTCCACAGCATACCTTCACATTTCTCCAGGATCTGCACCGTGTCTCCGATTTCCAGAGGCAGGCCATGCTGGATGGTACCTCGGAAGCTGACCAGCACTGCAACAAAAAAGGGACACAAAAACTCAGTTAAACATTTTTGCAGAACCACACAGAGAAAAATGACAGAACGGGTGAAGAGTAAACCCGAAACAAAACAAGAGGAGGTGCAATCAATAGCGTGTGTGTGTAAAACAACCACACCGCTTACCAAGCCACTAAAAGCTGACATCCACCACTTACTTAGGCCTTATTCACACACTCACTGATACAATCATTCAGGTAAAAAAAAAATCATAAAAAAGTCTTAGATGCTTGGTTTAGGTCAGATCAGGACCTAATTCTCAGTAATCGTGTTTCACTAGGGCAGTTAATAACAATAAAAACATCTGAGAAGGTTTCAAAGCAAAAACAACTACAGTCAATCAAATTAGTTCACCAGAAAATCAAATCATTCATGCATTTTCAGTCAAACCTTCTAATAAACACAATCAGTCTTTACAATGACACTTGCATAATGCAGCACTCCTTCTGCACCGAGTGATTACAGAGGGAAACGTGATACTTGTAACAGGGTATGTGCATGTTTAAGGGAGCCAGATTTAAGACCTTTTTTAAGGCTACTTTGACCAAATTTAAGCTATTTTTTAAAATTTCATTTAAGCTATAATTTCCAGCTATTGCCTGAAACCGGTGCTAACCATGTCGCGAACGTGGGATTAGCCATCCAGTTACCATTAAACTTTCACTTCCCCATGGTACAAGCTCCCACTAGCTTAACCAGCTAATGTGCTCATCTAAAAATACCCCCCTTTCACAACCAACTGAGTGTGTACAGTTCCGCTTATGCAAATATGATACACATAAAATGCTGAACACTAACTAGAAATTCCCGAAAATTTTATAGAAATAAAAATATCTTGTTTATTGGGTCTTTGGTCTTTTAAGACCTTTGGAAACAGTATTTAAGGATTATTTGTCATTTTTAAGGATTTTTAAGGCCTTAAATTTGGAAAAGCTAATTTAAGACGTTTTAAGGACCCGCGGATACCCTGTTTGTAACCATGTAAAAGCAGCTCTGTCCTGGGCTGTCCTCTGGACTCTGTGTGAGAGGTGGGGGACAAGGGGGTGCTGGCAAAACTCACATCAATGCTGGACCATGAGTCACGCCCCCTGCAGGACTCCTTGTCTGCTCTGGAGAGCAGCTTCAGTGACAGACTGGCTCATCCTTGCTGTGTGAAGGAGAGATACCGCAGCTCTTTCTTTCCTGCCGCTGTTAGACTGTAATAGTCACTGCTAATATGGAACCCATACATCTGTAACATTCCATGACAAATATCCCAGACATGTGCAATAGTACTACTACTGTCAATATGAGCAATAATTATCTTGATTATCTTAATTTACAATTATAGTGTTGTGTGATATATTTTGTGTGCTACTGCTTCTATCCTCTGTCCTTGAGCTGTTGCAATAATGCAGTTTCCCCACTGAGGGACACATAGATGTATTCATATTCTTACTAATTTAGTTTTAAGCCCATTTTACCAACATTTACATAAAATATATGGTTAAATACATTTACAGTGGTCTATGATAGGAGTGAATGTCTTTGTACTCCTGTTTCTGAGTTCTGCCGTGTGGTGGAGTTGCTAATGCTAACTTAAAATGCTAGCTTCTACTGGTCAAGGTGTTCTCTGCTGTTTCCTGGACGCTAAAACAACAACAGCCTTCCCTGTTGTGAGTGACAGTGTGACGTAGATCTGTCGGGATTTTCAAAATCCTAGATATTCACTGACTATTTAGCTAATGAGGGAGATCGGTGTAGGAGAATATTTTCATGTTCAGCCTCCATGAAGATCTCAGAGTGACTGATTATAATCAGAAATAATTAAAGATGTTTTTCTGTGAACCACTCCTTTAAAAATTGGATTTCTAGCATAAAAGACTCAGATTATCTCAGACTATGAGGAAATCGCCTGCCATCAAAGTGATTGATTCAAAGAAATATTCACACAAGAACAGACAGAACGGTTTGGATAAGGGCCAAACACTGAGTCTCAGGTAAGTCCCTTACCAAACAGAGGTGTTATCGCAGTGTAACAACAATAATAAATAAATAAATCCAGTAACGGTCTGTGACAAACAGCTTGACATCTCGTTACGGGACAGAAGGATTTAGGATTTGGTGTTTGGAAGGCCACAACTCGATTTACTCGTAAGTACAATTTGGGGGTTTCCAGGAGAGATTAGCAACAACTGGCAGAGCACATTACTGATGGATTCATCCCTAAAGTATTTGATTACTAAAATGTTCAATAGCTGCAGCCATAGTTGAAAATCCAGCTTTTTAATCCTGATTTTTAGTCAGAAAACTGGTTAGAAACATTATTAGAATTACAAAAGTAGAATTAAAGGTAGAAACACACACAAAAGAAGACAAACTTTGATTTCATACAGAAAATCTGTAGCTTCGTCACTGATTGGCTAGTGTGAAAATTAATAATCTGTTTTTAATAGCTAAGAGATCATTCCTTCTAGGAAAACAAGCTAAACAGTACATTCTGTCAATTATGATCCTTTGAGATTAATCAAAATTATCAGCAGGTCCGACCTAAAACTGGTATCGGCCTACTGACCTGCAACCGTTGTGTTTCTATTTAAAGAGGTGATCAAATGTTTGTTTTGATTTTCTCACAGAGATTTGAGCCAGTTGAGTTCTAAAGCAGAAACGGAGGGATGCTGAGAGTCCCTCTGGATCAGCAAGTGCTCGGAGCTACACGAGCGTAACACCCATCAGGAGACGGTGTCATCTGACAGCTCCTCAACCATCTCCAAGCAGAACAGTGTCCTGCTCACTGAGCCGGCACACTCACATCAGAAGACAGCAATGTTCACCCAGACACAGAAACACAAATCCATCAATGCAGAAACTGTGTGAAAGTCTCCAAATGCTTCTGCTGCAGCAGCGAAGGCTGCACATCCACACATGCGGCCTTTTGAAACAGCGGCGTACGCCTGCACACATGGAAGCACACAGAAAGCCATTCACACATGGACACACACATGCAACAGAGGCAGGATTCGAGGTGGAAACTTCCTCCACTTTACACCTGAACACCAACATCCAAACTTCTGTTACATTCAGAATGCGTCCATGTCGTTTTGCATCCGACGCCAAAGCTTCACCAGCTCCTTGTTATTCCCCCGATCTGAAGAAACTCCATCTCTAAAAAGGATTTGTCACATCTGACTTTGTAATTCATGTAAGAGTCAGCCACATGCACACACAAGTGGAGACGCACGACTCTTGCTGACTTTTTTTTTTGTAATTTATTCAAAGCTTAGTCGCTCACGCATTTCCACTCGCAAAGTGTGCCCAAAGCATGAATTACCCAAGGTGCTCCCCCAGCTGCATTCAGCTTAATTATTCAGTGTCAAGTCTGCATCTTTTCCCCCTCTTGCTGAAAAATGAAAGCTTAGTGCCTCTTCATCTACAAACCAGCTGCTATCTGTCCATTTATCCCTGACTGTAAACTAGGCTGACTGACCACCAAATTACAGACTGATGAGGCATTCGCTCTAGAAGGAACTGATTTGCACTTTTGTTCCGTTTACTCATGCAAGGGAAAGAGAACAGCGAGTGTCGACGGGAGGCAGGACCCCATTTGTGCCTGTTTGACCTCTTAAATGCTGCAGAGCAGAAAACCGGGCTGCAGATTTCAGCCTGGTTCAAAGACCACTGATGCACGAGTCCAACGTGACCCAAACAGGCTAACGCTAAGGACCAGCATCGAGTCATCCATCCTTTTAAGGCAGAAAAACTCAACTTGGTGACGTGTGACAGATCCATGACATCATCCAACAATCAAACACGCATACATGAATAAAAAAAACAGCACTGTCAAGATTTCTCAAGAAAGAATCATTGAGGGAAAGGTCACTGGGAATGGTGCCAGATATAGAAAAAGTGCTAAAAGTTGTGATGGAGAGCAGCTGCTTTGACACTGATGCAGCGTGTCATTGGGTTTCAGCACGTATCTCCTTTAAAACACCTGATAGAGACACTGGAAATCGTTCTTGCTTCATCAGGGGGAAAAGGAGAAGACTTTTATAGTGTTTGAAAGGACTGCGAGGGGTCCTATCACCCACAATATTACAGGATTGAAGGTGATATACATGTAACAGGGTTAAAACTGTTATTTTATGTTTATGTTTATTTATTTGGCAGACGCTTTTATCCAAAGCGACTTACAATTTCTAACCTATAGGGCATGTTGTGATCTGTGGGGGAAACCGGAGTACCCGGAGGAAACCCACGCATGCATGGGGAGAACACGCAACTCCACACAGAAAAGCAGCAGCCGAGTTTCGAACCTGCAACCTTCGTGCTGCAAGGCAACAGTGCTAACCACTGCGCCACCATGCAGCCCAATTCATATTTTATCTCACTCTACCTTTTAATCATGCTCTTATCTTGTCATGATTTCAGAATACTTTGACTTCCACCCCATCCAAAACATTTGTCTTCATCTGGCGTTTAAAAAAAATTCAGTGCACATAATACTGGGTAGAACGAAGGCAAAACACACTGGCAGCTTATGGCATGTGTTACAAGCTCTGCCTCCATTATCCTCAGACAAAATCCCTACTGGCTCTTTGGTGCTGCATATAGAAATATGCTCCCATTTGATTTCATTAGAAAGAAGAACGCTCATAAAAATCCTGGAGCTCCTGTACCAGCTCTTCTCCGCTTTCAGAGCAGTCAGTTTTGATCATGTGAAGTCAGGTAGAAAATTATGTTTATTTAGGAGAGGCTGAATTACATTTCAAACTGATATCTGAATGTTATATATATTTATACTTTCTGTGGGGATTTACTCAGCACATGCAGACTAGCTAACACACTTAAATGCTGGACTCTTAAGGATTAGCAGAAGTTTGGCACATGCTGAAATGACTCAGACTTTATAGTGTGTATATATAAATATGTATATATATCTATGTATATATACATAGATATATATATATATATACTGTAAAGTCAGAGTCATTTCAGC